ACAACTAGAGTAAAATGGCATGCATGCCAGTGCACAGTGGGACCGTAGTTAAAATCTTTAAAGGCTCGTTTTGTTGATATAGGAATTAAAAGAGCTAAAAATGACATTTGAACTGTTAATTCAATTTTTTTTTAATCATAACTATAACTATAAGCAACAAAACTTTCGAGCCCACTGTGTACACGTACAAATTTATTATGTTAAAATTCTGTAATGCCAACAAAACGTTTATAAAAAAATTTTTACACAAAAATGTATTAAATGCAGCTAAACACTAAATAAGCTACAGCGTACTGCACAATGAGAAAATAAAACAAAAAACTTGTCCCACTTTGTGAAAGCCTACTCTTCTCTACTGCATCTCTATCTCATAAATATGCATTTTTCATGCTGCTTTTTTTCCATTTGTGTTTTAAACAGTTGAAAATTCATCAACATAATCTGAAGGCAACAAAAAGAAAGGGGCATCAATTAAACACGATACACTTCAACTCTATTGAAAAATTCAGCAAGTGGATGGCACTTTTACTCAACACGATGAATTTGTTATTTAAAAAAAATTCATGAATGAATCAAAATTGAAGAAATTGTTGTAAATGTTGTTGCAAAAAAAATTATTCATTATTATTTAAATTGAATTTAAACGATTTTGAAATACCTGTATTTAGACATGCATATTTGAATGATGAATATTTTAAATATTGAAAGTCATTTTCTTGGTTATAAAATACACTTAAAGAAATTCTTGGTAAAATTAAAAAAAAAAATTCTAGTTCGGTTCAAGTTCTGTTCTGGTTCAGTTCTAGTTCAGTTCTAGTTCAGTTCTAGTTCAGTTCTAGTTCAGTTCTAGTTCAGTTCTAGTTCAGTTCTAGTTCAGTTCTAGTTCAGTTCTAGTTCAGTTTCAGTTCTAGTTCAGTTCTAGTTCAGTTCTAGTTCAGTTCTAGTTCAGTTCTAGTTCAGTTCTAGTTCAGTTCTAGTTCAGTTCTAGTTCAGTTCTAGTTCAGTTCTAGTTCAGTTCTAGTTCAGTTCTAGTTCAGTTCTAGTTCAGTTCTAGTTCAGTTCTAGTTCAGTTCTAGTTCAGTTCCAGTTCAGTTCTAGTTCAGTTCTAGTTTAGTTCTAGTTCAGTTCTAGTTCAGTTCTAGTTCAGTTCTAGTTCAGTTCTAGTTCAGTTCTAGTTCAGTTCTAGTTCAGTTCTAGTTCAGTTCTAGTTCAGTTCTAGTTCAGTTCTAGTTCAGTTCTAGTTCAGTTCTAGTTCAGTTCTAGTTCAGTTCTAGTTCAGTTCTAGTTCAGTTCTAGTTCAGTTCTAGTTCAGTTCTAGTTCAGTTCTAGTTCAGTTCTAGTTCAGTTCTAGTTTAGTTCTAGTTTAGTTCTAGTTTAGTTCTAGTTTAGTTCTAGTTCAGTTCTAGTTCAGTTCTAGTTCAGTTCTAGTTCAGTTCTAGTTCAGTTCTAGTTCAGTTCTAGTTCAGTTCTGGATCAGTTCTAGTTCAGTTCTAGTTCAGTTCTAATTCAGTTCTAGTTCAGTTCTAGTTCAGTTCTAGTTCAGTTCTAGTTCAGTTCTAGTTCAGTTCTAGTTCAGTTCTAGTTCAGTTCTAGTTCAGTTCTAGTTCAGTTCTAGTTCAGTTCTAGTTCAGTTCTAGTTCAGTTCTAGTTCAGTTCTAGTTCACTTCTAGTTCAGTTCTAGTTCAGTTCTAGTTCAGTTCTAGTTCAGTTCTACTAGTTCAGTTCTAGTTCAGTTCTAGTTCAGTTCTAGTTCAGTTCTAGTTCAGTTCTAGTTCAGTTCTAGTTCAGTTCTAGTTCAGTTCTAGTTCTAGTTCAGTTCTAGTTCAGTTCTAGTTCAGTTCTAGTTCAGTTCTAGTTCAGTTCTAGTTCAGTTCTAGTTCAGTTCTAGTTCAGTTCTAGTTCAGTTCTAGTTCAGTTCTAGTTCAGTTCTAGTTCAGTTCTAGTTCAGTTCGAGTTCAGTTCTAGTTCAGTTCTAGTTCAGTTCTAGTTCAGTTCTAGTTCAGTTCTAGTTCAGTTCTAGTTCAGTTCTAGTTCAGTTCTAGTTCAGTTCTAGTTCAGTTCTAGTTCAGTTCTAGTTCAGTTCTAGATCAGTTCTAGTTCAGTTCTAGTTCAAGTTCAGTTCTAGTTCTAGTTCAGTTCTAGTTCAGTTCTAGTTCAGTTCTAGTTCAGTTTAGTTCAGTTTTAGTTCAGTTCTAGTTCAGTTCTAGTTCAGTTCTAGTTCAGTTCTAGTTCAGTTCTAGTTCAGTTCTAGTTTAGTTCTAGTTCAGTTCTAGTTCAGTTCTAGTTCAGTTCTAGTTCAGTTCTAGTTCAGTTCTAGTTCAGTTCTAGTTCAGTTCTAGTTCTGTTCTAGTTCTGTTCTAGTTCTGTTCTAGTTCTGTTCTAGTTCTGTTCTAGTCCTGTTCTAGTTCTGTTCTAATTCAGTTCTAGTTTAGTTCTGGTTCAATTTAACAAAAAAAGTCAATAAATTCTAAATTTGTTGGAATTCTTTCCTAAAGTGTATCTCATGTTCAAATATCATTTGATGCGTTTTAGCAATTGCTGTGTGTTGCAACATGCAGTTTAAGATGATGATGCTGCTTTTCGAAGTTGTTTTTGTTGTAGATGTTGTTGAAATGATGTTTGAATTGTTGTTTAAGCATAAAATCACCTACTTTCATTGAATTTGATTGGATTTGGCACACACACACATGTTATCCATCAATAATATCACAACTCAATAATGTTTTATTTTCGTTGCTGAACATCATCCTCGATAGCAGCCATTCATTCAATCGCCATCATCATCGACAGCAGTAGAAAAAAAAATAATTTAAAAACATGAACAGCAACATTAAAAATATTGTTGGTTGTTGCTGCTGCTGCTGCTACTACTACTATTTTTTCAATTAATCGTGTGCATCCGTTGAAAGAAAAAAAAAATGTTGTTTAATGCTTCATGTTCCAATGGCTGGAGAGTTGTGTCAGGTATCCCAATATTTACAACGATGGTCGGCATAAGGAGAACCTGGCAAGCACAGTTTTAATAACATATACATTCTTTACGTTCCCTGTTAGCCATGGATGTCGATTTTTACTTAACACACATACAAATGTTGGCAGCATCAACATTTTACAAAATTGGTTATTGATGATAATTGTGGCATGTCATGATGACCGAACATTTATTGCTGCTGTTACTTTAAGCAAATATTCAACAACATTTAAATACATCACACTTGTTTCTTTTTTTTAGTTATTATTCGATTTGAGCTTGTTTTTTGTGAAAATTAATTGCGAACAGCTTTGGACAACAACTTCGGATAAAAAGGAAAAACATATGTTTAAAAAAATATTTTTTGTTAAAATGAGAATTTTTGGCTGAAAACACAGAACTAGAGCTGAACTAGAGCTGAACTAGAACTGAACTAGAACTGAACTAGAACTGAACTAGAACTGAACTAGAACTGAACTAGAACTGAACTAGAACTGAACTAGAACTGAACTAGAACTGAACTAGAACTGAACTAGAACTGAACTAGAACTGAACTAGAACTGAACTAGAACTGAACTAGAACTGAACTAGAACTGAACTAGAACTGAACTAGAACTGAACTAGAACTGAACTAGAACTGAACTAGAACTGAACTAGAACTGAACTAGAACTGAACTAGAACTGAACTAGAACTGAACTAGAACTGAACTAGAACTGAACTAGAACTGAACTAGAACTGAACTAGAACTGAACTAGAACTGAACTAGAACTGAACTAGAACTGAACTAGAACTGAACTAGAACTGAACTAGAACTGAACTAGAACTGAACTAGAACTGAACTAGAACTGAACTAGAACTGAACTAGAACTGAACTAGAACTGAACTAGAACTGAACTAGAACTGAACTAGAACTGAACTAGAACTGAACTAGAACTGAACTAGAACTGAACTAGAACTGAACTAGAACTGAACTAGAACTGAACTAGAACTGAACTAGAACTGAACTAGAACTGAACTAGAACTGAACTAGAACTGAACTAGAACTGAACTAGAACTGAACTAGAACTGAACTAGAACTGAACTAGAACTGAACTAGAACTGAACTAGAACTGAACTAGAACTGAACTAGAACTGAACTAGAACTGAACTAGAACTGAACTAGAACTGAACTGAACTAGAATTGAACTACAACTGAACTAGAAGTGAACTAGAACTGAACTAGAATTGAACTAGAACTGAACTAGATCTGAACTGAACTAGAATTGAACTAGAACTGAACTAGAACTGAACTAGAACTGAAGTAGAATTGAACTAGAACTGAACTAGAACTGAACTAGAACTGAACTAGAATTGAACTAGAACTGAACTAGATCTGAACTGAACTAGAATTGAACTAGAACTGAACTAGAACTGAACTAGAACTGAAGTAGAACTGAACTAGAACTGAACTAGAACTGAACTGGAACTGAACTAGAACTGAACTAGAACTGAACTAGAACTGAACTAGAACTGAACTAGAACTGAACTAGAACTGAACTAGAACTGAACTAGAACTAAACTAGAACTGAACTAGAACTGAACTAGAACTGAACTAGAACTGAACTAGAACTGAACTAGAACTGAACTAGAACAAAACTGAACTAAATCTTTGGACCAAAGATCATGGGCCTTGTTTTGCGTTAACGATTTTGCTTTTGTCTTTTACATTTTTCTCTTTCTCCATAACCGATCTTGTATTATTAATAAAATCATTAAAAACCAATTATCCCCTTTTTATAGCAACAACCACTTGATTTTATTTCAAAGAATTTATAATTTATTTTATTTGTGTTCAAAACCTATATTACGTCTTTAAAATTCCCACAATTATGAAATACTTTTGTACATTCTCACTTCATTAATTTAATAAATTAAAGAGAGAAAAAAAAAACATTCAAACAAAAAATATAACATAAATTTACTAATTTATCTTATATTTTCAACAAACTAATTTATTTATGTTTCGGTTTTTTTATATATATTTCACAGAAATCCCATGGACCGACGACCTACCACACTATTTTAAAACACATGCTGCAGACAGCACAAACAACGTTGAACAAATGGGAAATGTTGAAGGAAGTTGAGCTGCAGCAGCGATTGGAGCAACTCAAAGTATTGAAGGGGGTCCCGGCAACCAACAGCAGTCGTCATCAGTTTGTTTGAAATTCAGTCACAAAAGCAAATAAATAAATAATTTTTTTTTTGTTATTTGGTTGGACTTGTCAACACAAAGAAATTTATCAAATCGAAAAAAATAATACTACAAACAACCATTTTCTTGATAATTTATTATAAAAAAAAACAATCTGAAAAAAATTGAGATTTCTATGCTAAAATGAACTAAATATTTAAAACGCATTTTATGATATCACAAGTGAAAAGTTTTGAAATTTTCTTATGAACCCAATAAATTGTAATAAAAAAAAAGATTGTGAAAAAATTACATTACAAAACAGTGTGCCTAGAATTTTATGACTCAAATAATCAACCATTTTTTTACCATTGATTAAAAAACAATTGCTGAAATAAACTAGATTTTGTGAAAATAAAATAATAATAAAATTAACCACTAAATAATATTATGGTTTTAAAATTTTCAAATTTTTTTAAAGCCAAAAAACATTACTTAAAGACTACAATTTCAACACCAATCGATAAAATCATAAGAATAAAACAAGACTTCAATAACTAACTTTTTTTACTCAATCTCTAATAGCAATCACTTTAAACTTCTAACTGTTAAAAAGAGTGACATAAAAAGTACAAAGAAGTTACTTTTTTATGGGATTTTTTATCAATTTACAAAAGTCCTTAATAAAATCTACAATAAAATTAACAACATCTACTTCATTTTATTTGGCCTACAGCAAATCTGCGACAATAATAAAACAACTAAAATCTCCGAATAAAAATCCACAAAAATTTATCATAATCTGCAGCAATAATGTTGGCCGGCATCAGGAAACGTTTGGCACGCAAGTAAGTATAAACAAAAAAACTAAAAATTACTTTTTAACTTTTAGTAATTTCATTAAAAATTCTATTTTAAAAAGGATCAGATTATAAACTAATCAATAAACTAGAGTATAGAACTGAATATAAACTAGCCTATAAATTAGACCATAGACTAAACTATAGACTAAACTAGTCTATAGTTTAGAATAGACTATAGACTAGACTACAAGCTAGACTATAGACTAGACTACAAGCTAGACTATAGACTAGACTACAAGCTAGACTATAGACTAGACTACAAGCTACACTATAGACTAGACTACAGGCTAGACTATAGACTAGACCATAGACTAGACTATAGACTAGACTATAGACTAGACCATAGACTAGACTATAGACTAGCCTATAGACTAGACTATAGACTAGCCTATAGACTAGACTATAGACTAGCCTATAGACTAGACTATAGACTAGCCTATAGACTAGACTATAGACTAGCCTATAGACTAGACTATAGACTAGCCTATAGACTAGACTATAGACTAGCCTATAGACTAGACTATAGACTAGCCTATAGACTAGACTATAGACTAGACTATAGACTAGCCTATAGACTAGACTATAGACTAGCCTATAGACTAGACTATAGACTAGCCTATAGACTAGACTATAGACTAGACTATAGACTAGCCTATAGACTAGACTATAGACTAGCCTATAGACTAGACTATAGACTAGCCTATAGACTAGACTATAGACTAGCCTATAGACTAGACCATAGACTAGCCTATAGACTAGACTATAGACTAGCCTATAGACTAGACTATAGACTAGCCTATAGACTAGACTATAGACTAGCCTATAGACTAGACTATAGACTAGCCTATAGACTAGCCTATAGACTAGACTATAGACTAGACTATAGACTAGCCTATAGACTAGCCTATAGACTAGCCTATAGACTAGACTATAGACTAGCCTATAGACTAGACTATAGACTAGCCTATAGACTAGACTATAGACTAGCCTATAGACTAGACTATAGACTAGCCTATAGACTAGACTATAGACTAGCCTATAGACTAGACTATAGACTAGCCTATAGACTAGACTATAGACTAGCCTATAGACTAGACTATAGACTAGCCTATAGACTAGACTATAGACTAGCCTATAGACTAGACTATAGACTAGCCTATAGACTAGACTATAGACTAGCCTATAGACTAGACTATAGACTAGCCTATAGACTAGACTATAGACTAGCCTATAGACTAGACTATAGAATAGCCTATAGACTAGACTATAGACTAGACTATAGACTAGACTATAGACTAGCCTATAGACTAGACTATAGACTAGACTATAGACTAGACTATAGACTAGCCTATAGACTAGACTATAGACTAGCCTATAGACTAGACTATAGACTAGCCTATAGACTAGACTATAGACTAGCCTATAGACTAGACTATAGACTAGCCTATAGACTAGACTATAGACTAGCCTATAGACTAGACTATAGACTAGCCTATAGACTAGACTATAGACTAGCCTATAGACTAGACTATAGACTAGCCTATAGACTAGCCTATAGACTAGCCTATAAACTAGCCTATAGACTAGCCTATAGACTAGCCTATAGACTAGCCTATAGACTAGCCTATAGACTAGCCTATAGACTAGCCTATAGACTAGCCTATAGACTAGAATATAGACTAGCCTATAGACTAGAATATAGACTAGCCTATAGACTAGAATATAGACTAGAATATAAACTAGCCTATAGACAAAACTTGACTATAGACTAGATTATAGTTCAGTTCTAGTTCTGTTCTAGTTCTGTTCTAGTTTTGTTCTAGTTCTGTTCTAGTTCTGTTCTATTTCTGTTCTAGTTCTGTTCTAGTTCTGTTCTAGTTCTGTTCTAGTTCTGTTCTAGTTCTGTTCTAGTTCTGTTATAGTTCTGTTCTAGTTCTGTTCTAGTTCTGTTCAGGTTCTATTCTAGTTCTGTTCAAGTTCTGTTCTAGTTCTGTTCTAGTTCTGTTCTAGTTCTGTTCTAGTTCTGTTCTAGTTCTGTTCTAGTTCTGTTCTAGTTCTGTTCTAGTTCTGTTCTAGTTCTGTTCTAGTTCTGTTCTAGTTCTGTTCTAGTTCTGTTCTAGTTCTGTTCTAGTTCTGTTCTAGTTCTGTTCTAGTTCTAGTTCTGTTCTAGTTCTGTTCTAGTTCTGTTCTAGTTCTGTTCTAGTTCTGTTCTAGTTCTGTTCTAGTTCTGTTCTAGTTCTGTTCTAGTTCTGTTCTAGTTCTGTTCTAGTTCTGTTCTAGTTCTGTTCTAGTTCTGTTCTAGTTCTGTTCTAGTTCTGTTCTAGTTCTGTTCTAGTTCTGTTCTAGTTCTGTTCTAGTTCTGTTCTAGTTCTGTTCTAGTTCTGTTCTAGTTCTGTTCTAGTTCTGTTCTAGTTCTGTACTAGTTTGTTCTAGTTCTGTTCTAGTTCTGTTCTAGTTCTGTTCTAGTTCTGTTCTAGTTCTGTTCTAGTTCTGTTCTAGTTCTGTTCTAGTTCTGTTCTAGTTCTGTTCTAGTTCTGTTCTAGTTCTGTTCTAGTTCTGTTCTAGTTCTGTTCTAGTTCTGTTCTAGTTCTGTTCTAGTTCTGTTCTAGTTCTGTTCTAGTTCTGTTCTAGTTCTGTTCTAGTTCTGTTTTAGTTCTGTTCTAGTTCTGTTCTAGTTCTAGTTCTGTTCTAGTTCTGTTCTAGTTCTGTTCTAGTTCTGTTCTAGTTCTGTTCTAGTTCTAGTTCTGTTCTAGTTCTGTTCTAGTTCTGTTCTAGTTCTGTTCTAGTTCTGTTATAGTTCTAGTTCTGTTCTAGCTCTGTTCTAGTTCTGTTCTAGTTCTGTTCTAGTTCTGTTCTAGTTCTGTTCTAGTTCTGTTCTAGTTCTGTTCTAGTTCTGTTCTAGCTCTGTTCTAGTTCTGTTCTAGTTCTGTTCTAGTTCTGTTCTAGTTCTGTTCTAGTTCTAGTTCTGTTCTAGTTCTGTTCTAGTTCTGTTCTAGTTCTGTTCTAGTTCTGTTCTAGTTCTGTTAGTTCTGTTCTAGTTCTGTTCTAGTTCTGTTCTAGTTCTGTTCTAGTTCTGTTCTAGTTCTGTTCTATTTCTGTTCTATTTCTGTTATAGTTCTGTTCTAGTTCTGTTCTAGTCCTGTTGTAGTTCTGTTCTAGTTCTGTTCTAGTTCTGTTCTAGTTCTGTTTTAGTTCTGTTCTAGTTCTGTTCTAGTTCTAGTTCTGTTCTAGTTCTGTTCTAGTTTGTTCTAGTTCTGTTCTAGTTCTGTTCTAGTTCTGTTCTAGTTCTGTTCTAGTTCTGTTCTAGTTCTGTTCTAGTTCTGTTCTAGTTCTGTTATAGTTCTAGTTCTGTTCTAGCTCTGTTCTAGTTCTGTTCTAGTTCTGTTCTAGTTCTGTTCTAGTTCTGTTCTAGTTCTGTTCTAGTTCTGTTCTAGCTCTGTTCTAGTTCTGTTCTAGTTCTGTTCTAGTTCTGTTCTAGTTCTGTTCTAGTTCTAGTTCTGTTCTAGTTCTGTTCTAGTTCTGTTCTAGTTCTGTTCTAGTTCTGTTCTAGTTCTGTTCTAGTTCTGTTCTAGTTCTGTTCTAGTTCTGTTCTAGTTCTGTTCTAGTTCTGTTCTAGTTCTGTTCTAGTTCTGTTCTAGTTCTGTTCTATTTCTGTTCTATTTCTGTTATAGTTCTTTCTAGTTCTGTTCTAGTCCTGTTGTAGTTCTGTTCTAGTTCTGTTCTAGTTCTGTTCTAATTCTGTTCTAGTTCAGTTCCAGTTCAGTTCTAATTCTGTTCTAGTTCAGTTCTAGTTCAGTTCTAGACTATAAACTAGAAATTTTTTTTTCGAAATAGTTTTTTAAAAATATAAAATTGGTCCCATACAATTTGAACCTTCCTAATGTCCAAACATCATTGTTCTGGAAAATTGAGAAGATGTTGTGACAAATTTTGTTAAATGATTTTTTTTTTTTTTGTCATTTTCATTAAGTCTTGTTTTTTCGTAAGAAGTCATAAAAATTTAAGGGTCAGTTGGGGTGTTAATGGTTTATTTTTGTTGTGTCTTGTTTTCCTTTGCTTTTGTAAAGATTCAACTTAAAATTGGGTTAAATTTCTAGGGAAACAATAAACAAAAAACGACAGCGAATAGAAATTATCGTAAAACTTAATTACAGGCTTAGTTTTTGTTGGTTTAATTAAAAATAATAAAAAAAAATAAGATTTTTTTGGTTATAAGATAAGGAAAAATCTGGCTATAACTGAAGAATATAGAAATTCTTTTAAAATGTTTTAAAGTTCGTTTGTTGTACTTATTATTTTGCTTAAGAGTGTGTGTTTAATAAATTTTCTAACGATCTTTGTTACCTTGTCTATCTATAGTTAAAATATTAAAAGTAAATGATCTAACATTAGTATTGCTGTTATAAATTTAGCTTTAGTTAAAGTAGTAAAAAACAGCTAAGTCATTAAAACAATGTTTTTAAAACAACAACACTGAAAACAAAAAAAAAATATTAAAAAAAAACTTTAAAGGTAAACAAATTGCAAAATTATGTCAGCATCTTCAAATACAAAAGAAAACAAGTTTTTAACAGTAGTTTTTTTTATAAATTTTATAATTTGCAATAATTTATGTCAAAAAAATGTTAATTTAAACAAAATGACAATAGATATTTAAATTATTATTATTTGCAAACAAGCTTTTTTTTAACAAAAAAAACCTAAGAAAACTAAAAATTTCTCACAGTGTATTTTTATAGTTACCAAAAATATGGCATCACTTTTTATTATTCAAAATTAAAAGATCGTTACAAAAAAAGCTTTTTTCAATAACTGCCAACAGCTGTATCAACAACAATAATTACTTACGGTTATTTACTCTCTAATTGTTGTTTTTATTAAGAGTATCATTTTTATGATTGTTGTTTTTTAATTATACATTTTCATTTACTGTTACTTTTTTTTAAAAAAAGCACACTTATTTACTGGAAAGTTTAAGAGTGTGC